CCAACCATAAAATTATTTTCGTTGCTACTTCATAACTGTAATTTTGCTACTGTTATGTCTTAGGAGACCCCTGTGAAAGGGTCGCTCGACCCCCAAAGGGGTCATGACCCATAAGTTGAGAATCGCTGCCCTAAAGTGTGTTGTTTTAAATGCATAAAAATATACATATCTGTGTTAAATTATTATAGTCTTATTACAAGTCAGTTTTTTCTCCTTTTTCCTTTAGCAATTGTGTGTAATTCAAAAATTCATAATGGCTTTTCTCTTTCAAAATAAAGATGTATGTATAAAACATTTAAAAATACACAGAACAGCCATGGCCGGTTTGGCTCAGCACTTAGAGCATGGGCCCGTGGACCAGAGTCATGGACTCCGTTCCCGTCAAGGGCACGTACCCCCCTGCGGTTTGTCCCCAGCCCTGGTCATGTGGGAGGCAACTAATCGGTGTCTGTCTGTCTGTCTGTCTCTCTCCCCTCCCTCCCACTCTATTTGAAAGGAAATGGAAAAAATAGATATACATATACATATATATATACACACACACACATATTATGTGTGTGTCTGTGTGATTATATATATATATATATGCACACACACACATATATATGCACAGAACAACACACAAAAACAAACACCCCCTATACACACACCACCACCATTTGATACATGTGATTCTAAGTGCTTGACTAGCTTATCATTCCTACTGTTTTTTGGAGTGACTTATCTTGATATTTGGGAAGACCAGTTTCCATAAAGAGAATTCAGTTGTGACCTAGCAACCTCACAAAGGTGATGGCAGAATAACATCACAAATGTGCAGACAAGTTGTTCAGCCTACTTGAAACTATGGACACCATGCATTTTCCAAGATGCCAGATACAATCAGCTATGATTACTGTGTCAGGAGCTGAGCCACATTTTTAACTACAGTTTCTTCACTTATAAATGGGGAAGCAGAAAAACCAAGAAAGATTTCACAACCTTAGAGTTTTGTTTTGTTATTTTAAAGCGGGGACCTCAGAGTCATCTCATAGCATCCCATAATGAATGACTTCTAATTGTCTGCAGAATGCTAATTAGGGAAAAGGGAGAAAAGGAAACTTTGGACATGATGGGGTGTGTTTTTGAAACTTTCTCCAATACCATGTCCATTCTGAACACCACAGGAAAGACAGTAAATGAATAAAAGAAATAGAGGATAGATGAAATCTCAAAAAAGAGATAAAAAGAGGAAACCAAATAATCACAACAAAAATTAATAATGATCAGCCCGGGATGGGAATGGTAACTGTCTCCCCAACGTGACGACCCTCACTTGTTATCCCCACCAACAAAATAGACTTAAAAATCATTTCAGCCCCATTAATAGTAGACTCTGCAACCTCACCTTTGAATAAAAAGTTTCAATGAATAGTTCCTATTATTTTCAAGTTACCAATCCAGGATATAGTTTGATTACAGTGGTCATATTTCTATAAGCCATTACAATTTCAATTAATAGTGATTAAAACCACACTTAAATATTCTGGAATTTCTGGAACGCCAAGTCAGATTTCTAACTTTTATAATAGTTCCTATTATTATGCAAGCCTACCTAATTTGGGAAAGCATAAAAAATGTGCACATATTTCTAGGCATATTATTGTTTTCTTTCTAACAAATTTAACTGTCCTGTTTCTCATGGCCATTCCCTACCTTGGCAATAACTAAAATAATACCACTCTAAATGTTGAAAATTCTGAAATTAATATTAGTCAATTTAGCTTACAAAAGTAAAAAGTCCAAAAAGGTATACCAAAAGAAAACATGACTTAGATTTTAGGTGAATTTAATCATGCTCCAAGAAAAATAATTTTATATGATAGAATACAACTTTCATTTAACCTGGGTTATTAATTCTGTTCTCTAAAATTACCATCATGGGATGCTGGTATTATATGCATTCTGGTTGTTTACAAATAATAAACATCAATAAATCTTGTTCCCAAATAATATGTTTCTTCTGAGACAAATATGTGCCCCTTTTATTTTTATAAGGAAATAAGTTTAAGGAAATTCCTAGTCTTGGCTAGCTGAATGTTAGCTAACTACTACTTTGTTATTAGTAGTTCATATTCCAAGTAGTGCCCTGATTTTTATTTTACATTTGATATTTCAACACTTAAAATGTCTTCATCTTGCCCTGGCCAGTTTGGCTCAGTGTTTAGAGCGTCGGCCTGCGGTCCAGAGAGGCCCGGGTTCGGTTCCCACTAAGGGCACATACCTCGGTTGCAGTTTGTCCCCGGCTCTGGTTGGTCGTGCGGGTGGAAACCACTCAATGTGTCCCCTTCACATCGATGTTTCTCTTTCTCTCTCTCTTCCTCTCTCACCCTCCCACTCTATCTGAACAAAAAATGAAAAATGTTCTCGGGTGAGGATTAAAAAAAAAAATGTCTTCATCTTAATGAATACTATTTCTCTACTTTTATTTAATAAGTAAAATTTAAAATCTCCCATAAACTTATACTGCTAAGTTCTTATTAGTCTCCTTAGTATTATGCTCCTATTACCATCTTTTAAATTTTCATGGTATTTTAAGCAAATTTAAATACAAGGATATATGCCATTCCTTCACTCAACAAAAAATTAAGGTGTATGTTCATGTTCTAAGCAGTTTGCTAGGTGCTGGCAATATAATCAGATTCTGACATTTTATTTTTACAATGCAAATTTGTCAAATTTAGTTGTTTATCCATTTTTCTAATTTATTTTGTGAGTAGTTAAAATCATACTCATATAAATGCCTTTTTTCTGAAGATTCTAAACACAAGTTCATATAGTCACCTAACCCTTATCTCTCCTTTTTTATGGAAAATACCACTTTTTTATTCTTTTGCCTCAATCCAGCAATGATTTCTTCTATTGAACCTCTACTAGTGAATTTCCCATTTTCCTTCAACCTGCCTTTAAAACGATCATGGTCATCTAGGACTACAGACATGGTAGTAGTAGTCCTAGAGAACAAATAATAGCTAAAATAACAGCAATATCTACCAGTATTATAACCTTCCTTTCATGTTTTTATTGATTTTTTAGAAAGAGAGTAAGAGAGACATAGAAACACTGATGCTGATGTGAGGGAGAAACAGCAATCAGCTGCCTCCTGCACACTCCTAACTGGGGATCGAGCCTACAACCCTGGCATGTGCCCTGACTGGGGATTGAACCAGGACCTCTCAGTCCATGAGACAACACTCAATCCACTGAGCCACACTGGCCAGGCCCGGTATTGTCATCTTAACTAAGTGCTGGGAACTTGTCCTTTCCCATTTTCTCAGTTACTTCATGAGATGCATGTTATTTTCACATCACATGAGAAAATAAGTTTGGAACAAATTATAGGACTTGTTTAAATGCATGCTGCTACTAAGAGGTAGTACTAGGATTTGAATCCAGATCTGACTGATCCCCAAGTCTATTATTAGACATTATACTAGATAACCATGAATGAGCTCTTTCCATTTGTATGCAGAACAAGTGGCAGAGTGAACAAGAAATGGCTAGGAAATACTCTATTTTCTGAACAGGGGTAAAAGGAACTTTTTAAAAAATTAAACTTATTGGGGTAACATAATTTTCAGGTATACAAGATTATAATTCAACATCTGGGAGTAATATACAAAATATTTAAGAACCTCAAACAACTTAATAACAACAAAAAAACAACTGGTTAAAAATTGAGAAGAGAACTTGACTAGACACTTTTCCAAGGAAGACATACAGATGGCCAACAGACCAAAAAAAAAAAAAAAAATGTTTAACATCACTAGTTATAAGGGAAATGCAAACCAAAACCACAATGAGATACCACTTTATACCCATTAGAATGGCTGTTATTTAAAAAAAAAAAAAAAGGATTGGCAAGAATGTGGGTAAAAGGGAACCCTCATACACTGCTGGTGGGAATGTATGGAAAACAGTACAGAGTGTGTCAGTCTTTTCCCTTTTGCGGCCTCGTAGAAAGCGCCAGCGGTCAAAATGAAGTTTAATCCCTTTGTGACTTCTGACCGGAGCAAGAACCGTAAAAGGCATTTCAATGCACCTTCCCACATTGGCAGGAAGATTATGTCTTCTCCTCTTTCCAAAGAGCTGAGACAGAAGTACAATGTTCGGTCCAAGCCCATGCGAAAGGATGATGAAGTTCAGGTTGTTCGAGGACATTACAAAGGGCAAAAAATTGGCAAAGTAGTCCAGGTTTACAGGAAGAAATATGTCATCTACATTGAACGAGTGCAACGGGAGAAAGCTAATGGTCCAACTGTTCATGTGGGCATTCACCCCAGCAAGGTGGTTATCTCTAGACTAAAACTGGACAAAGACCGCAAAAAGATCCTTGAACGTAAAGCCAAAGCTCGCCAAGTAGGAAAGGAAAAGGGCAAATACAAGGAAGAAATAATTGAGAAGATGCAGGAATAAAGTAATCTTACATACAACTTTTATTAAAACTTAAAAGGAAGAAAGAAAACAGTCCAGAGGTTTCTCAAAAAATTGAGAATAGATTTCTTTTTTGATCATCTACTCTTTGCCAGGTATAGGGAGTAGTGTTCTTTCCCTGAAACAGCGCGATGATTGTGGGTGATACAGTCCCACAGTGGTAGGTAGGGGGGCCAGGCACCAAACCCAAGGCTGAATGGCTCCAACTCTCTGCCTTTCCTCAGTCCTACCCTGCCCAGGGCCCTGGCAGAATCACAGTGGGAAGTGGCTGTGAAATCTCCCCCCAGGAAAGGAACACCGCAGTGTCGCACAGAGCAACAGGCTCATTGCCCCAAATGTTTCCGATTGGCTCTCCTAATGGTGCAATGTTTGAGGATGAGCTGATTTGTCATGGAATTTTCCTCATCAGTAACTTGGGTTTCAAGTTTGCAAGAACTGGCTTTTTACCTGCCATAAAGTCAAGAGAGGCTATAAATAGAACAAGTATAAAACATATTCAAAGCAATAATAATGTCATTAAAACCTACCTGCAGCAACCTAGGAAGAAGATGGTTTGATTCGATGCCGACATATATGTGCAGCAACTCCAAGAGGGAAATGGATTGGCAAAGTTGCATCACAAGTCCAATAGCATAAAATGTGTCAACCATTGAATCTGTGTCCAGAGAATTAAAAATACAGATATAGTAAACACTAGTGCCCAGACCCCATCTCCACAGCACTTTTACATAAAATTGAGATTATTCACTCTTATTTTCATTGTATACATGTGAGAAATTTCCTGAAGAGACCACTTATTATTGACTAGGCAACTGAATAAAGTCCTTCATATTATAGTACATTTTAACTCTTCCTCTTCCAAAAAGAAGTAGAACTTGACAAAGAAGGCTCTATGGCCAAAACTGTAGCATTTGTTCCCCCATTTATGAGATTATAAAGCAATATCCTCATAAAAGTAACCAGCTAGAATCCAGACTACAGCAAAGGTAAATAGGTTGGAGGTGAGCTTGTTGAAGCTGCTGCTGTCTCACAGCTTTTCCATTGACAAGAAAATGACAGATGAGAAAATATGATTTCAGAGCAGCTTTATAGAAACGGCATTAATGATGCCAGGATATCAAATAACATGTGTATCAAGTATGTATGTCCTGTACATACTTAGTGTTCTCTGGATTTTTGTTAGTTTTTTAAATTACATTTATTTGGGCGACATTGGGTAACAGCAACATTAGTTTCAGGTGTACGTTTTTATAATATGACATGGGCATACTCTGTTGTGTGCCCACCACCTGAAGTGTAATCTCCTTCCATCACCATATATTTGGTCCCCTTTAGCCTCTCTGTCCTCCTCCCATGCCCCTCGATTTCTGTTAGTTTTAAGGACCAGAACTTGGACCGCTGGTGGGGACTTCTGGAGTCTGCACCGCAGAGGGCCCAAATGGAAACCTGAATTTGCAGAGAGCTGAAATGGGAGGGAAACAAATGTTCCTTTAAATAGAACAAATGTTCCTTTAAATAGAACAAATGTGTTGGTTTAAATTTTAAAATGAAACCCTGCCCTATTAACATAGTTCTTAGGAAGATTCTGCTCTTTACTGCCTAGTGATCATAAATTATCATCAAGCACTAAGGGTTTCTCTTTCCAGCAGCTCTATGAGATGGACACTATTCATATTATCCCCATTTCACAGATGAGTTCTGAGGCCTAGACCGGCGGTGCTCTTCTCCACTGGCCTGCACTTACTGTGATAGAGCCTTATCAATTACACGGCTCCATGGAGGAGGAAGGAAACAGGTATTGCTAAGTTCATGTGATTATATTACTATAAGCTGCTTACTTAATTTATACATTGATTCAAGAGTAATACTGAATCCCCACTAAGTTGTTTTCAGTCTACCTTCCATATGAATAGGTTAAATTTCTTTAATAAGCAGCTTTTATAATTATAATGGTAGGATAAAAAGGAAGAAATACTTTTCTGACTAAAGCAATTTTTCCCACTGGAAATGCCAGGCAGCATAAGAAAGAGTTCAATGCTTGTGACTTGTGCTGTGAATGACTTATGATACGCCACGGCCACAGCCAACTTCCAAGGCCTGGACGTGTTGTTGGTTGTCTCTCCCATTGCCTTGTTTTCCTCTGCTTGAAGACTCCCAACACGCAGTTGAAATTCAAGCCTGAGGTTGTACCTTTGGAGGTTCTTAACAAAGGCAAGAATTTTTCTGTAGACTTCAGTAAGAAAAAAGCAACATAAAATAGTTTATGGTACCTCACAAGTTGAATAATTTCCTGATGATACAGAAGTCAGAACTGATGAGCACAGCATGACTTTCCCCAGATATATGCTACATGTTTGTTTTTAGCTGAAACCAGCAGTTGCTAAAATTGTCAAGTCACCCAACAGTTGTAAACTGTGATGACACTTACCCATGTGGGGATGGAACATGAATGTTATTTTGACAATCTTTTAGTGATTCTTTTATTATTATTATTATTATTATTGAAATGCTATTTAAAATCTTTACATTTTAGGAAACTGGAAGAAGCTTAAGACTCAAACCATTAATGCCAACTCCCATATAAGTGATGTCATCTACAAGTGTGTTATTGTCTTAGGGACACGTTACACCTTAAGGGGACCAAATAAAGACCTGAGGAATATAAAGTTTCTCTTTCATTTATTAGTCTCCAGTTACCTTAAACCTGGGGAATAAAGACTAAGGGAAGAATTTGGTTATTTGCTGATTTCTCTGCACAAAATGTTACACATATTAGAATTTACATATTATCTCAAAACACAGCAAATCTGCTAAGGTTTGGTCCAGAATCAAGAAGAAAGAGAGAGATGGCATCACCCAATGCCAGGTCTACAGTTTCAGGGCAAACTGCCCACTCAGGGGGAAGCCAAATCCCTTTTCTCATCTCATCTCCCCACTTCTCCAAAAAGGGTTTGGTTTTTTGTACTAAACAAGAAGCAAGATTTCTGAGCATTATGGTCACTAAATTTAGAGTGAAGAATTTTAGGTAAAGTTCAAAGATGTTAAAAAGTTAATATAAGTAAGACTAGGTGAAAACAAGATTAATAGATAAAAATCAAAAAGTTTTTTAGAGTTTTACCTTTTCCAAATGAAAAGAATCTGACTGTCATATTTGTAAATATCCATGAGTGGCCACAGAACTGGATTAAGTAGTAGATAAAAAGATAGGCGTTTTTCCTATACCTATAAATACAGAAAAATACCATTAAACACTTTCTTTATAATCATCCTTTCAGCATAACACACATATCATTGAACTAACCTACTGGCCAAAGTGAACAAACAAGAGAAAATTATTGCCTATCAGTCTTTTATTTGGTTACCCCTCGAAGGCATATCAGACTTTGAAAGCACCACAGCACACATGATCCACAAATGAGTGTCCTGAGTTGCCTAAACCCAAATATGGTTCTATTTCAAAATCCACTTTATCTTTGACAAAGTTCTAACCTTGCTGCTCACTAAGGGATAAAAGTAAGCATTGCAAAGACTGCTTTGAATATTTTTGAGGGGGAAAAATAGAGAAGGGATTGGTGTGGCAATATGTGTTTTAAGTGCAGAACTTGAGAGATAACTGGTTTATAATTAGGGGAGGGGCGTAGTGATGCTGGCTTTCCAAATGGTGGATTAATTCAGTAATTGGACAGGCCTGACTTTGGGATGCATTATGTGATTAGGGTCAGTATCTCTCCACTGCCTCCTAGTCTGCAAGAGCAGGTGTTTCCTTCATCAGACACACGTAGAAGGCAGTGTAGAGACTCAGCCAGAAAAGTGAAGTCAAGCTGGGTTTATACATGGGTTGCTGGAGAGATGACCAAGAGATGATTGACAGACATGCTTTTGACGGAGTCCAGACAAGCACTGTTGGAAGTGTTCTCTGGTGCTTCAGAAGGGTAGTGGGAGTGGCCCTGCCATTGTAGACAAGGTTTTCTCCTAGTTGGGGATGCGAAACCTCTGAGAAGTAAGGTAAGTAGGCTAGAAAGCAGATACCGTGTAGCTTTATGATTTTCCTGGGACGACACAAGCTAGTGAAGGGGTAGGGAAGAGGCGCGCATCCCTTCAACCAGCCTCAGAATCACTTGGAGTCTCGGTTAAACACACAGTCCGCGGGCCCCACCCGAGTCCTTCTCTGGCCCTGGGCCCTCGAATGTGCACATGCGACGGGAATCTCGGCAGCAGGCAGATCTCAAATTCACCCTGAAGCACTACGTCTGAGAAGCCAAGGGAAGGCACCGGCGGGAGGAGGGAAGGGAAGGGCAGGCAAGGAGCTCTCAAAATGAGGGCGTGGCCGCGTCGTCGGTCCTTCCCATTTCCTCTGGAAAATGGGGGAAATAACGGAACCTTCGTCCCAGGGTGGGCGAGAGACCTGAATTAGCTCATACCTGCCGCGGGCTCGAGGATGTGCGGGCGCAGGGCTGCGCTGCCGAGCGCTCGCGTGCCTGCCCAGCCGCCGCTGCGGAGGGGCCCCCCGCCCGCGGCCCCTCCTCCCGCACCCTCCCCGCCGGCCGCGCCGAGCGCCCTACCTCGGCTGCAGCCAGGCTGGCAGCGCCATGGGCCCCGCGGGCCGCCGCCAGCCCTCCAGCGCCGTCCGGGAAGGAGCGCCCGCGGGGAGCTCGGAGGGGCAGCCCGCCGGCGCGTGCGGAAGGGCGGGGCCTCTCCACATTCAGCAATTTACAACAAAAACAAGAAAAGCCCAACGTTGTGCAATGGGCAGGAGCTGCAACCCAAGTTCCTCAAGTTCCTGCAGCGGCGGCCAGACGCTGCACCACAAACGACCCACCTCCCGCTGGGCTGAGGCCGGACACACCCACGCGCGCCCGCCTTCCCCGCAGGTTCGCGCAGCTCCTCTCTGGGCGTCCTAACCTCAGGCTTGAGGCTCTGTTGCAGCTTCGTTGAGATTACTGGGACCTCCCACCTGGCCTTCAAAAACGCTAAGCAAATAAGCCGATCAGAGAAAGAAATACCACGTGATCTCACTTATTTGTGGACTATAATGAACAACAAAAAAAAAAGTGACGAATAAAACAGACCCGGAGAGAGAAAAGAGTGTGGTTCAGACTGATAAAGCTCAGGGGAAAGGGGTGACGGGTGGGGGGAAGGATGAGATAAACCACAGAATTTATATGCATGTATGCATAACCCACGGACATAGACAACAATGCTGGGGGAGGGGGGTTGGGAGCAGGGTGTCTTCTGGGGCGGAAAAAGAGAAACATCTGTAACAAAAATAAATTAATTAAAACAAAAACGGAAAAAGCAGGCAGTCACGCCATCCCAAAGCCTCCCCGGATGCGTGGGCATCAGGTGCCCGCCTCTCTTATTACCCTCACCTGTGAGGCGGTTCAGCGAGGAAGTTTGTGGCCACACTTCCCCCAACGCCTTTTCAGCTAATAGGCCTGATTCCTCCAGGATCAGGCATCCTTGCCCTCTAACTTCCCTGGATCCTCACTGATGCTTGCAAATCCTTATACATATCCGTGGATGTCCATCTCCTTATCCTACGCCCACCACGCAGAAAACCTTCTCCAGATCACTCAGCCCTACAGCATCCCCGTCTCTTTCATGCTCAGACTGCCCACCTTCTACATTGCTGGTAAGGTCCAGGCCATCTTCCTGGCTCTATGCCCTCTAGAGAAACACCACCAAATAAATAAGGAAATAGCCAAGATAGCACTTGCAAGAAAGTGGGACAATACCACCCAGTTTGGGGGGTTGGTAAGTAGTACCCCCATTTTACCTAAAGGGAAGTTGAGGCTTTGAAAAAATGTTAAGCCACTTGCCACAGGTCACATGACTAATAAGTGGCAGAATTAGAACTTCAAGGTCGGGGTTAGTTGGTTTTCCCTCCATTAGACCAGAGGCCCCTTTCTCATAATCCACTCTGACCTCTCACCTCATAGCCCACCTCTCACCTTTACATTTGTCTGCACCTTCACCCATCTCTGCCCTCTGTCAAAGGTTCCCCCTCCCCCGCACTTACCAACTCCTGGAAGTCACTGCACCAGCTATTACCCACTCACTGCCTCTTGCCTCATCCTCATCCTCTCCTTTTCACTGGCTTTCCCCACGGTTCAGCAACATACTCAAATCTCTCCTACCTGTGAGATTATTCTTTTATTATTCTTTTTTATTCTCTCTTGATATAATTTTCTCTCTCCTTTTTCTCAAAACTCCTTGGCCACCTTCTTTCATAATCAGATGCTTCTTTAATTTCTTACCTAGTCTTCCTGTTTCATAACACCTTGCAGTTTGACTTTCCTTCCCAACACTCTCCTGACACTGCTGTCTTGGGAAACTGCCTTAATTTCTTCCCTGCGTCTCCACCCTTCCTGTACTCCATCTGTGCATGCCCCACGCTGTCCTTGCTCTTTGGGGTCATTTGATCTAAAGGGGAAACTGATACGCAAACACTGGTGGCTGATCTGTCCTCAGTGTCATCCGTGCTCAGGGCAAGCAATGAGAAGAAAGTCCTGGATGGCCTGGAGTGGGGTGGAAAGGAGAGAGAGGAAAGTCTGCCGAGAGGAAGTGACTCTTTATTACCAAATACAGGCTCTTCAGCTGCATCCTGTCTCTTCCCTTTACCCCTACAACTCTGCATGTTCTACTTCTCCTGCCTCCTATTCTCTCTGTCTGTCTCTCTCTGTCTCTGTCTCCACGGGTTCCCTTCTCCTGTTCTATTCCTCAAAGGTCTGCCCTGCGCAGTCTTTTACATTTGCCACCATGTTATCTCTCTGCACAAACACCTACCACCCATGCCTTTTTTAATGAAAACCAGCTCTGTCTTTCAACAGCTTCTGGACACCTGCATGAAAACCCTATTCTAGCTTCCAATTGAACCTATTTAAAATAAACGTACTATCTTTCTTCCCAAATCATTGTCCTATTTCCACAGGGAGACTACCATTTTTCTAGTCATTCAGTTTTAAAATGTGGGAGTCATCATTAAGTTTCTCCATCCAATCAAATTCTCTTACTTCCATCCTTTCCAGATCCCCTGCTGATCACTAGTGTTTAATTTTCATTCTTTACTACCCAGAACCTGGGTAAAAGAAAAAAAAGGACACCTAAACAAGCTCCTTTGTACTTGCTAGACAAAGAACAAACCACAAACAAACAAACAAAAACTTTTCAAAACAAGCAATTAGGAAATTCTACCTTATTTTTCAAGAAATAAGTACAGAACAGAGTTATGAGAGAACATTTTGGGTGGGAAGTCAAACTCTCCCTTTCCTTTGGCAGGGCCGCAGTTCAGGTTCTCTACAGGTCCTGCCAGCATTACCAAGACAGCCTCCACCAGGCTCCCTGCCTCCACCAGACTCCACCAACCTCCCTGCCTCCAGTCTTTCCTCCTATCCGGACAAAGGACCACACATTCCTCTGGTCCAGCCATCCTCCTGGTCAGGATCCTTTGCTGCTTCCCTGTTGCCTGCCACAGTGATATCTCACCTGGTCTTCAAGCCTGCCACACGCGGACAGCTCATACCACCCTATCCACCAATGAGAGCAACTTGCCCTTCCATGACCTCTACAGCCATTCTCTGACCATGATGTCTCTGTGAAACTTCTGTACTTTGAATTTCTCTTCCACCTCCTTCCCTTCTCACCGACCAATATTTTCCAGGCAAAGTTTTATTCATTTTTAAAAGCCCTTCCCAGACCTTCCCCTGGAAGCATGCTGGGCTAATGGATATCTATGATGGCATTTACCTTAAGGTGTTTTTAAGGTAAAACAACTTACTCAACTAGATTAAAGATTCCTAGAGGTTTCTACCATTTATTAACAGTAAGAATATGACAAATGTTAACTTCTCTAAGCACAGTTTCTTTTGTCAAAACTATGCAGTTGTTGAGAAGAGTAAATAAGAAAATGTATAGGTGTAAATGTATAGGAGCACCTAGTACAGTGCTTGGCATGATGGGTGTTTGTATTGTACTGAGTGAATGAATGAAACCCAGTATGAGTTTTCCTCTCCCAAAATTTTAACCAAAATCAAACAAAACTTTCAGTGATGGTTACATTATGTAATATGTATAGTGAATTTTCTATGATCTACTTGTAAAGAAGGAGTTAGAAGCCAAGACCATTCAAATAACGCTAAATTAATAAATTTGTCTTTGAAAGGAATTTGAACATTATTTGGACATGCGAGTTTTATTCTCCTTGAGCAAATGTTTAAATTTGTTTTTAGCCCTATAAACATCAGCTGGGAGACTAAAGCTTTCAAACATTTTATTGCAGGAACAGAATGGCTCAATACTTTTTAAAAGCCATATACAAAAAGTGATAAAGTGTAGTATTTCACAAGGATCCTCAGAGAAATTAAATCCAGTGGCTGAATATCCTAACTTTGGACACTTCTCCATCCATCTATTCAACATCCTGTTTTTATATTTCTTTCCCTTCCATCTCGCGGCAATCTTATTTTTGTATATCAGCACTTCATGTGATATTCACCGAGAGCAGAGGTTCTGGGAAAGTGCCCTATTGCTCCCTTTTCTTCCATTAGCCACAAATGGTTCTATAAAGAACCGGTTATACTTTGATAACTTTCAATTCTAGGTTTATTTTTTATTTCAACTACCTGGAATCTTCAGGGATCACAACCTCCCCTTTTTCCCACTCCCAATTCCATAGTACAGATTGGAAATGTCACAGGCTGCTAGATCCATTCAGGACCCTAGAGAGTATGTGGTTCAATCTCCTTATTTCACAGGCACCAAAAATCTAGTAAAAACAGGGTTGAACCCTGGCCAGTTTGGCTCAGCAGTTAGAGCATCGGCCCTCAGACCAAAGAGTCGAGGGTTTGATTCCAGTCAAGGGCATGTACCTCGGTTGCAGTTTGGTATCTGGCCCTGGTCAAGGTCGTGTGGGAGTCAAGTAATCGATGTGTCTCTGTCACATCAAGGTCTCTCTCTCTCTCTCTCTCTCTCTCTCCCCTCCCTTCACACTCTATCTGAAGATAAATGGAAAAATATCCTTGGGTGAGGATTAAAAAGAAAAAACTGGATTGAGATCTCTTTTCACAGGACTGTGCAAAGTTTCATCTATGTTTGCCTCATTATCCTGTTTCATTCAGGAATTAGCCATAAATAGTCACTTATTGTAATTTTTGCCTGGACATACTCTCAGCCTCTATTGTCACTCTTTTCCACTCTGATCCAAAGCATTGCTTCTCCTTCCCTCCTAGAACCTTAACCACCCTTCTTTTAAATGCCTTCCCCATTTACCATTATTCCATTCACAAGAAGATCAGACCCTGGACTCAGATACTGTCTTGTTGCATCATCATTTCCCAGCTACCCTCTATCCCGTTCCAAGTCAATCATGTCCAAGTGTGTAACTGATTCGTTCAACTAAGCAGGAGCCATTTTAAAATCTGCTTTCTATGCCATGGATACTCTCCTCCTGCAGTTCACATGGTTATATTTTTTACTATTAGCTACATGTGCTTTATAGTGTTTTCTATAAGTCATCTCACTTAATCCTCAGAACAACCCTGTGTGATAGGAATTGTTCTTACCTAATTTTATAGATGAGAAAAAAAGGTCAGAGTATGTAAATATCTTGACCAAGATCCACACAGTTAGTAAATGTAGGAACTGAGATTAGAACTTCAATCTGACTCCAGATATTGAATTCTTAATCACGATGCTATATTAACTTGTTTCATATGATCAGTATTTGTTGGCAAGTGCTGGTTTTCATGTAGTAGAGTCAACATGTAACACTCTATATAATATCTAAAACTATAAAAATTCCAGAATAAAACATAGGAGAAAATCTTTGAGGCCTTGGGTTAGGCAGAGATTTCTTAGATATGACCCTAGATATTTCAGATACTTCCTAGATATCTAAGCAAGTACTTCTTACATGATTCTGATCTTTAAAAGACACTTTTAAGAAGATGAAAAGACAAGACTAGGAGAAAATATTTATGAACCATGTAACTAATAAAGGATTTGTATGCAAATATATAAAGAACTCTCATAACTCAA